CCGATCGTAATAGAGCACAGTGGAGCAGGGAGAGAGTGTTCTGGCAGAGCAGAGCGGATTGATTTGGAGTTTCATGCTAGTGCTACCTTAAATTACATACTGTAGCTTTAACCAGTGTCACTACAGTTTTAGAAATTTAGAAATCCCCCCCAAACAAATTTCTTACCAAAAAGTATAGATAGTTATGGCATCATAAGACAATATAAACTACTAGTTAGGCTGCATTCTCTGTGTGTTTGCATCTTTGTGACAGTGATCTGTCAAAAGTCCGGCTCATAATACATCCTGACATCAAACCAAAGTCTTGTGTTTTCATAGCAGCTCAAGTACCAGGGATAGTGTTAAACTGAATCACACCCATCTGGGTCTTTCTGTGTGCCAACATGTCAGATCAGGTTAAAATTTGGATGGGTTTAAGCAACAGTGAGGCCTTAGCGTAATTCCACACTGTCTGAACCGTCTAGTGTCATGTTTACATGCTCAGATGAGTTAATCCTGATTTTCAGCTAAGCTGTGATGGCACTCATAAAAACACATAGGGGCATCAGGGAAAAACATGAAATATAATACTTGATATTATGCAAAGAATTAAGGAAAACTATGTAGTTAAAGGAACAGTTTAGCACAAGAAGGTGGATACCTACACTCATATATGTCTGTTCAATATGAAACTACAGGCCAGCAGCCAGTTAGCTAAGTTTATCACAGCTAAAACTGCCAATTAACATGTTTTATCAGTTTGTTTGATTAAAACACCCTGTAGTTTTACACTTTGGATTTTCAACAGATGAAACAAAAACACTATACTGTTAATTACAGAGCTTAAAAGATACAGGTGGGCAGATTTTATCACCATTTAACAGAGTAAGGTTCACTGTTTCTTTGTTTCCAGTCTGTGAGGTAACCATCTACTGGCAGTATTTAACATACATATGAGTGGGATTGATATTTTCCAAAATGTTGGGACTCTTGCTTCAACACGAGACCTCTTTTCACTTGTAGCCCTTGATGTAAAGAGCAAAAATTCAAGATTTAGAGATGACAAGGCAACTGTGTACTTGTATATAGTACATAATGTACTAGTTTTCATTCATCCCTCACTTTAAAATCGTATTTTTGAAGACTGTTTGCTATATTTTCATGCAGCCATCCTAAGAGAATGTTAATGAGCATAGAAAAGATTTTTCCTAACACACAGCCCATTTATTTATTATTGTCTTTCCATTTGGATGTGGCCTTTGTTGAATTTATGAGCATGATACACATTTTGCATATCTGCATTTTTCTCGTGTATTCCAACATTCTTTGCTATTTACAAGACACAGACCTTAGAATCCTTCTCTTACTTTATACATCATATTATTGGTAGAATTTTAAAAGGTGCACTGTACATATTCTGGGGTTCTTCTGATCCCACAAAAAGTGGAAAAACCATTCAAGAAATGATGGGCTCATTTTGATGAGTGAATGGGGCTGAAAAAGTAGCCTGTGGTCAATCCATACTGGTTAATTGAAGCAGTTTAGGTAGAAAAGACTCCTTGACACTGATGGCTGTCCTATGAGGGACCTTCAGTAGGGCCCTTAGGTCTTTTGATAGGGCACTCGCCAGCGTCCTCTGGGGCTATTTCACCCCCCACGATAAACAGGGAGCCCTTTGTCGCCAGGAATAGGGGGGTCTGGAGGGTTGCTCCTCGTTATTATTTTCTAAAGTAATTATACCTTATTATCTGTGTTTACTTTAGCGGGGGTGCAAGCATGCAGGTGTGGGCCATTCGGCAGTGGGTTGGCACCCGAGTATCTTTTTTTAACTCTCTCCCCTCCATCGTTACTTGGAGGTTTTTGAGGGTTTTAGTAGTAGTATTGTAGCCCTGCCGCTAATTTCAGCCCAACAAAAGAAACGTGCAATTAGGGCTATTATAGTAGCAGCTGCATGCTTCCTTGCTGTGCAGCAACAGCTTCGTCTTCTCCCTGGCTCAGTGGTAAAAGGACTGGAGAGGGGAGAAGCAGAGAGAGAGAAGGGTCTGCAGCAGTGAGGAGAGAACTGGAGTGGTCACAGTAGCCTCCAGTGTCTGTAGAAAAGAGAGGAAAATATAGCCTCAGAGGCTGGTGTGTTTCTTCAGAGTAGACACAGCAGGGACCCTCGCCCACAGGCTCACGGGCCTTGAGAACAATGAATCTGCCATCTCCCAGCATAAAGTGTTATGAAATAGTCCTTGCGTCAGTTCCATTGGCTGCTCTCTTGTCATGTGGTCTCAAATCTGCGTGGGTCGAGGGAAAAGGATTTGCAAATAAGAAAATGCTTTTTGAAGAATCTAAGCTTTCAAAAAGACAAGAATCAGTTTAGTTTCCCCATTAGACCTATTGCAAATGTAATCTGGTAAAAGTATTACACATTCCTTGGATTTCTGTGTGAACACCAAACTTCCCACTAATTATACAAGGACACTGGAGTGTTCTTTTGAAAAGTAATCCACTGGCTAAACTATGTGAAATGCAGCTTTCCAGTGATGTCAAAATATTCACCCAGTAGGCTGTTATTCAGTTCTCTGAGTCAGTCACAGCAGCCACAGTGAGCCATACGTGTTAATCACGTGACTCACGGCAGAATAATGGTTGCAGAAATTTAAGTCATGATTAAACTGGATCAAAGAACTAGTGCCGATACACCGAAAAGCCTGGCGATCTGTATGAGCTTGCATACTGAGGGCCCACTGAGGCCCTCACAATGAGCCAATCTTATGCTCTCAGCACAAACAAAACCGTCACAGGTCCTGTTGTTCTCGCTTACTGATTCTCCCACTTCACTGCCTTCCTAACCCTTAGAATAATCATTTGATTCAGGGCGCTTAGTTTCAAAGGCATAAGCAGACCAGAGCATCCCGCATGCATGAGTCACAGCTCTTTTAGTTGATGAACATGTGACCTATTTCCTGTAAGACGTGCCAATAAAATATTTTTCTTTATTGACACATATCAGTAGTAACTGGAGCGCTGTCTTTAAATGACAATATGGGCTGTGCACTCAGGAGAGCTGTTGACTGGGATAATAACTAGTAGTAAACAGGGAGTTTATATTTTCCCAAAAGAGGAAAAATGGCTGTCAGATGCTTGTCAGCAGGCTTTCGATTGTTAGCATTTAAATATTTAACCTGAGCCAACAGATTCTCACTTCCACCTTTTCCAGACTTCAGGCACAACATCAAATAGTGCTGCTAAATAATCACCACAAGAAAGCACAACAACCAGAATTCATAGCTATTCACAGACAGAAGGCAGTGGTAGAAAAATATTGTATATGTGACAGAAATGATCAATAATCAGAAAATTAACACTTAAATTAAACAAAACTTACAATTTCACGATTTGATATTTTGATGTTAGTTTTGCTCCATTATAAGATTTGTAACATCAAAAGACAGTGGCTTATCTCTCCACATATACACTTCAGCTGTTTTATCTTTTACAAAGAGAATAATATGAAAGTACAGATACAATATGTGGCTTAATTTTCAATAGCACATAAGGGAGCTGTCACTGTGTCATGAAATATTTTTGCACTGCAAAAAGTTATTCGAGTCTTTAAATTCTAATTTTCTCAGAACAAGTGAAGTACACATGTGGGCGGGTATTTTACTGAACTACATTTTTCTAATGCAATCTCATCTTATTCATGTTTCAATATATAAACATTCATTTCTGGAAAATTCTTGAGACAAACTGATTTCATTTGAAAAACAAGTCATAAGTTTCTTTCTGTACCAAGATTTCTGCACTTGTTTTATGAAAATGACTTGTATGGCTAATTTACATATAGAAATGACATCTCCTCTTAAATGAATAACAGTTCCACAAAACAGAAATACACCAGTACAAAAACGATACATAAATACAGCACTTGAGTAGATGTATTTAGGTTACTTTCCACTTCTACAGAGGTTAAATGTTGTTTTCAAGATTAAAAGCTGCTCTTCCAGCTTTGGTCTTACTGGCATCTATTTCGTCTCATTAGGACCCTGGGACTAAGAGTCAGCAAAACACAGAGAAATCATTTTGCTGTGGGAGTGTGGCAGGGATAAATTGGCCTCTGGTTCAGTACAAGAGTCCCCACTGTGCCAAGCGGAAGAGAAGGGCCTGGCTGGCAGTAGGGGCAGGCCCAGGCAAGGCAGGCTGGGAGGCCCCATGCTGAGACCCCCTCCCTGCCTCTGACAAACGCGGCAGTGGATAATCTCTCCTTCAGAGACTCGGGCCCAGCGCTGTGGGACTAAGAGGGAAAGGAGCTGTTGTACAGCACAGTGCAGAGAACCTGCCTCTGTAAGTGTGTAGCATGAATCACAAACACACACTTGTTTGCTTTGTGCCCTTCCACTGTGCACAGCTCATGTACATTTTCTCTTGTGTACACTTTCTTCTTCTCTAATGCAGACATTACTTTGACAGTTTCAATAAACACAGGCTCACATAAAGCACGGTTGCTACAAAATGATCATGAATATCTTAAATGGTGTCTAGCCCTTGAACTTGTGTAATATCATGCAAAATTCATGCAGCCCAAAATAAATGCAAGTGTCAGAGGGCAATAACAACCTGTCCATTACAGGTAGACTGTGTTGACTTGGCAGGCGTCCTTCTGAGGAGATCAACAGCTCTTACAAAGACTGTAATTTATAGATATTTTAGTCAACCCCTGAGTCATCTTCCATATAAAAATGAATAAATGCAAAGACAGATTTAGTTTATATATCAGAGAGCTCTGCAAGAAGTACGTGAATCAGAATGGCACAGGACAGGTCTCTGGTAATGACTTTTAAACATGAGTAAAATTTAGCCAGTGTTTATATGCCAGAGTTAAAAAGCTAATTATGATGCATTCGTTCACCAGCATTGCAAGCTCAATTTCAAAGAAATGTAGTCCAGTTTTTTCCAGGTGAGATGACTAGGACCAGTCAGATTCCAAAATATTAAGTTAGACAACACACAAAAAGATAAAACAATCAATAATATAGTGTGTAAACAGCCAATTTATTATAAATGCCATCACCTTAACATCTGCACTACTGTTGGTCAGTAAAAACACTTAACATAACTTTCTCCAAACATCTATTGTCCTTACTCCCCCCCCCCAAAAAATCTATTCTGATGGTGTGTCTGGTCAAACCAGTAATATTCAGATAGAAGTGTCCATATGTCCAATGTCACCGCATACTGAAAGGTCTTGTCAGCTGCTATGACGTCTCCATCTTGTAACCATGTTTTTCAAGCTCTGCTCTGCAGGAAGGAAAAGAGGAGATCACATCAGTAGAGATGATTACAGGTGGGTGGTTGAGGCGTAAGTACTCCGCTATTGATTGTGAGAACCATTAAGAGATGGGAGTGAAAAAATGCATAAATATTGTATAATGTGTTAGCTATGGATTTGATGATTATATACATAGGGCAGCAATGCCCTTTAATAATAATAATAATATCTTTAAGATACAACTTAATAGCATGGGTATCATAATTGATCTAAATAAAACAGTATATTACTGCCTTAAGTGTACTCATATAAAAACAGAACAGCACTTTAACCTATCAACAGTTATTGATTATTCAATAAGTGCAAGCCTTTAAAGCCGAACATCCTACATCAACTTTGATGTTTAAAGTTTAATGTTAAAGTTTGTTGAACCAATTTTTAAAATTGAGCCCAAAATTTTATATATTTCTTTTTACACTGGATACTATGAGGGACATTCAATAAGGTTTTATGGCACAGTGAAATTGCATGTGTTCACATTTACTAAGGCATCACAGTGGAGTTTTGCACTGGACAAAAGAAAGGTGGCACCGCAGGAATTTCACGTTGGGACTCATGCAACATGTATTTTTGGGTGTTCAGGGACCCAAAAATAAGAGTGGAGGAAACGGAAATTCATAAAAAAAAAACCCTCAGTGCCCAATTTACCACTGCAGAGTTGGAAGGAACTGTGGCTGAAATGTAACGTCGGGAAAGAGCAGGTGTAAAATTTGTAGCAGTGTTGTCAGTGTGGGCAGCTGTTAGTCATCTGACATCTTGTTGCAGTTATGAACACATTTGAGGAGGGAGAGGATTTCTGTAAATCACATCGCTTGCCAAACGAGAATGAGAGGGACCAACACAAGTCAAACCACTGCCTCAGTTCAGAAAAAAAAGTGGATTTATTCAACTACCGTATATTAAACTACATACTTAAACTTGGTTCTGCATTTCCTCTTGGTCCACACACAGAGTTGCATTCAAATAAACACACCTGTAGCAATGCTCATTTACATCAGTGTTTGCAAATACAACCCTAAACAAAACAAAAAAAATTATGGTGCCACAATATTGTGTTACTATACGTCGTTTGTTGTCATGATATTATTTTGCCCTTTCAAGATGTTTGTCACATTCTGATATACAAAAGAAACATTAAGCAGCCCACAACAAATAGCTACAGTGTAAGCTAATGAAGAGAAGCAGCACATGAGCTGCAACATAAGTAAAATACAAAGAAGGCTAAATGCAGTATTAGTTACAGCAACTTCCAAGTTTCAAGATGTAAGAATCTTGATTCAAGATGAATTGGCAGCAACTAGTTCCATACAGTGTTGTATATTACAGGAACTGTTACATCATCTTAACATAGACAACACAAAGTGTTCATAGAAGGACAATTGTAATTAAAATAATAATAAAATTGTCATTCACTCTTTAGGAAAAATAAGCATGACTATGAAGCATAATTGTAACTGTTGACATACTAACCCGTGCTTACAAACAGCAGCAGAAAACTGGACTTCTGAATTATAAAAGTTAACTCTTACATTTGTTTGTTGATAACATGCATTTAAAATCTAAAAAATGATTATTCCAACCATGTCCCCTCAGTTACCAGGCACATCCCAGTGATTGCTAACAGTTAGTGATAGTTAACAGGCTCTGGAATAGACTATTGTAAGACAACTGTACCTGATCTCGAGTCATTCCAAAACTGTATAGACAGGTGGAGGGATTGAGTCTTACTATCACCATTTTATACTGAAGCTGTAAAATGTGTCGGGAGTATGTCACACACATTCAGGGAGCTGCGGGCCTCATTTTCTGGACTGTTGTCGCAGCACAGTATAAGAACATTTCTGCGTGTTTAGGACCAATCCATTTAATAGATACGATGAAAGGCTACACTGGTGTAGCTAAACAGGTTAATTCTGGCTTTCTCTGATTAACCTCTAGAGTCCCTGCGTCCTCATATGAGGACCAAAAATGCATATGAAACCAAAGCTCAGGACTCTAGAGGTTAAAGCTATGTTACCTCAGTTGATTTGAGAAATCATCTTCTACGTTGTCATCATCCCAGTTGTCTTCCCAAACATGAGCATCTTCATCTTCATCAAGCCCTGTCCAGTCTAGATTTAAACAGAGGAACATCACCGACATTAGAAAACTACCTTAAGTGGATAAATCTTTCTTCAACAGCTGTATATGAAAGTCTCAGTTAAGTCGGTAAAAATCAAACAATAAATGCAACTCGACTGACCGTGTGAAGGTCTGTTTATCTGAACGACACACAATTCAGCGTACCGACATAACGGTAGGCTAATGTTGGGATAAGTCGCTAGCTAAGCTTAGCAAAGAGCTGAAGTAGCTATACATGCTGGCAAATTAACCGACAAATGAACGTGTAGTATTAAAACCACGCTTACTCTAACACTGACAAGGACTTACGTAAGTTAAGTAGCATGTTATCTTAAGTAAATTTCTGTGTTGTCTTACTAGAAAGTTCGCTAGCTAATGCTAAGGCTATTATGGCTACGCTAGCTGAGTCACTGTTGCATGGCCCAACACCGAAAAACCGACAGTACCAAAGGCAATTAAAAACGAAACAAGATAAATATGACTCCAATTACTATGTGTATTAGTTACCCTCGGCTGGGAATTCTTCAAACTCGTCATCCTCCTCCAGTAAGCCCAAATCCACGGTCTGTTTCTTCTCTGACATGTTGGATGTCTCAGTGCTGTGTTGCAGTTATTGGTGTTGGTAATGACTTGTTCGTAAACGCAGGGACTTGTGGGTCGTTGAAACTGTTCAAGCAGGCAACAACTGCGCAGGAAAACGCAGTGGTTGCTTCTCATTGCGGTAATGCAATTGTATTTATGGATCGAATTTCATTGCTTATGCACTCACTCAAAAATAATAACAAGCCCACTCTCACCGCTCAGACAGAGCTAGATTTTTTTTTTAAAGTTGTTTTCAAAGACAGCATTTACCTACAAAACTGGCCTGAACTGAATATATGAACCATTTTAACCATGTCATCATTTCATTGTTAAACTAAAAGCATGACGCTTTACTTAAAGATTGTAATAGCAAAACATCTTAGACTTTTCAATGACTTTTAATAAATGAATTCAAAGGAATTCATTATGAATGTGATAATGTTTGTTTTAGATAAAGAAATGTATGCAGCCCTTCAGCAGCATACTAGATGGGGCTAGAACAGTGAGAAGCACCTGTTTGCTTATTTAGTTGTTTTCAGTATATAGCAGGGGTTTGACACTAAAACATTGAAGCAATGCTTAGAAAATACTTTCAAATATTTTGGAGAGCAGAAACCTCTTTCAATCTGTCTCTTTGAATCTGTCTCACCCTGTGTGTTTTGTGCTCTTTCAGACAGATACACACTCTCCACCACACCACCACAAAAGCCTCATGCAGACTCCTTTTCCTCAAAACATATGCACTCAAGTCAGTCAAATTTCAGCTAAGATTTTTCATTTAGGAACAAATGCACATTATAACCCCCGTGGGCTGCTTAAATAATGAAGCAGCAGCCACAGCTTAGGATGTATTTTAGATAAATGAGAGCACACATTTACCACAAAACCATTCATACCACAATGAAAATTGCTCTGCAGCTGTCATATGTTGACAGATGGAACAAACCTCAACTTAGACTCTGCGTACTTATTCCATTTTCAAATTATTTTGTAATCATGCTAAGCCTTTACACATGACAAAGCCACAACATTCGGAGGAAGGAGAAGCAAGACATGGTGAGAGTACTGAAAATACATACCATTGTGTTTATAACCTCATTCCACTGCAGTGTAGAAATACATGTAAAACTGTTTTAACTAAAACTGAAGAAGAATATTCTGCACACTAATTTGAATAAAATGTACCATTTATAAAATTGTTGTCTTTTGTATTTCATTTTATTGTACTGAATGAAGGAAGGAAGGAAGAGGTGACATGCTTATTTTTATTTATATACTGTATATCTCAAGCCACCATTAGTTTTGCTGTTTTAGCAAGGTTGAAATGCTAATTTATATTTATTTCTTAGCTTCTTTATTAAGATATAACTAGAAAATATGATAAATATGTACACATTATTAAAAAACAAATTTCAAAACAAAATGGCTTCTACAGTCCAAAATCAGTATTTAGTGTGACCTCCCTTTGCACAGTTCTTTTGAGGAGATGGTCTTGAAACCTTGAAACTATGACCCTCCAGCATATTTCCAAATAGGCTGCAAGCTCTCATTCTTCTAGCTCTCTCCATCTCTTCTTCTCACATACAATGTCAATGACTGGACCCAAAAATGTTAAACTTAAATTCATCACTCCATAAGTGTCTTTTCCACTGATCTTCAATCCTGATAAATATGTACACATTATTAAAAAACACAAAATTCCAGAACAAAATTGCTTCTGCAGTCCAAAGTCAGTATTTAGTGTGACCTCCCTTTGTACTAACACAGCTTGACTGCCTT